AACTAACACTACTACGAATACCAATAATACCAATAGCCGCAATCGTAGTAGTAGTAATAATAAGACTGAATATAATAGTAGTAATAATAATCATAATACTTATAGTGCAAATAGTACTAGTAAGATTAATAGTCACAATAGTAATACCAATCATAATATAATAATAACAATCACAATACTACTATTATTAATACTACTACTACTACTGATACTAATAACAATATTCGTAATAATAATAGCAATTACAATAACAATAATCATACTAATATTAATACTAATAAGATTAATGATGCTGCTGATGATGATGATGCTGCTGATGATGATGATTATGATGATGACGATGATAATGGTGTTGATGATGAAGATGCTGCTGATGATGATGATGGTGATGATGATGATGGTGATGATGATGATTATGATGATGATGGTACGAAGCATACTAATACTAATAATACTACTAATCATAAGAAGAAGAGGAGGACGAATAAACATAAGAGGAGGAGCAGGAGGAGGAGGAGGAGGAGGAGGAGGATGGCGAGAAGGAGGAAGGGGAGGCGGAGGAGGAGGAGGAGGAGAAATTCTTTACGCTTCGCGTATCCCCACCAGCCCATCTCACAACAGCAACTCTTGCGAAGCATGCCGGCAGTCGTGTTTTTCAGGCGTGTGTCCGCTTGGCCCCGCATATCTCCCCTGTTCCTCCTTCCTCCCGCCTCCTTGTACATCCTCCTTGTGAGGGGAGCGGGAGAAGGACGAGGCGGAGGAGGAGGGAGAGAAAGCGCTCCTCGTGATTTGAGTCGTTTGGGGTTTCTCGTCCTGGTGTGAGTCGTTCGGGCCCTTCTTCCTGGTGTGAGTCGTTCGGGCTCTTCGTGGTGTGAGTCGTTCGGGCTCTTCGTCCTGGTGTGAGTCGTTCGGGCTTCTCGTGGTGTGAGTTGTTCGGGCCCCTCATCCTGGTGTGAGTCGTTCGGGCCCCTCCTCCTGGTGTGACTCGTTCGGGCTCCTCGTGGTGTGAGTCGTTCGGGGCCCTCGTCGTGGTGTGAGTCGTTCGGGCTCCTCGTGGTGTGAGTCGTTCGGGCGCCTCGTCCTGGTGTGAGTCGTTCGGGCCCCTCCTTCTGGTGTGAGTCGTTCGGGCTCTTCGTGGTGTGAGTCGTTCGGGCCCCTCGTCCTGGTGTGAGTCGTTCGGGCTCCTCGTGGCGTGAGGCGTTCGGGCACCTCGTCCCCTTTTGGGGCGTCTTGGGGGCCTCTTGGCGGCCCCAGGGGCTTCTAGGAGCGTCTTGGGTGCCTGGGGGGAGCCTCTTCGGGCCTCTTGGGAGCCTCTTGGAGGCCGTTTGGGGCGTCTTGGGGGCCTCTTGGCGGCCCTGGGGCTTCCAGGAGCGTCTTGGGTGCCTCGGGGGAGCCTCTTGGGGCCTCTTGGGGGCCTCTTGGGGGCATATTGGGGGCCTCTTGGAGGCCTCTTGGGGGCCTCCTGGGGGCCTCTTGGGGCCATCTTGGGGCCTCTTGGTGTCTCCTGGGCGCTTCTTGGGGCCATCTTGGAGGAAATCGATCAAAGCAGAGGGGGGCTTTAATTAGCGCTGCCCCCTCAGAAGGGCAAAATGGGGCCAAAACCTTCGTAACATCAATGATTCTGGCTTGAAAGAAGAGGGGAGCTGTAAGGAGCGCTGCCTCCTCAGAAGGCCAAAATGGGGCCAAAACCGTAGTAAAATCAATGATTTTGGCTTCAAAGAAGAGGGTGGCATTTTTTCGGCCTCCCCCCGTCGGGGCCAGAATCCTCGTGAGGGGTGTAGTTTTTTTAGCCCTCCCAGGAGTCGAACATGACCCCCCTGACGACCCGCGGAACGCCCTCTCCAGGCCCAGGGGGGGGGGTAGGGGGAGGGGTAAACCCCTCCCCGAAGGGGAAGAAGGGAGTTGAGAACAGAGCGGGCTCTCTAAACCACTCACGCCCAAAGGGCTGGTGGGAGTAGTAGTCCTAGTACAAAGAGCAGCGGTGGTAGTAGTCCCAGTAGTACTAGTAGCAGTGGTAGCAGTAGTAGTATTCCAAGTAGTATTTGTAGCAGTGGTACTCGTATCAGTAGTAGTGGCAGTACTAGGAGTAATACCAGTAGTAGTAGTTGTAGTAATAGTAGGGGTATTAGTAGTAGTAGTAGTAGCAGTAGTAGTAGTAGTAGTAGTAGTAGTAGTAGGTAGTAGTAGTAGTAGTAGTAGCTTAGTAGTAGTAGTAGTAGTAGTCGTAGTTAATAGTAGTGGTAGAGTAGTAGTAGTAGTAGTAGTAGTAGTAGTAGTAGTAGTAGTAGGTGGTAGTAGTTAGTTAGTAGTAGTAGTAAGTTAGTAAGTAGTTAGTAGTAACAGTAGTAATAGGACTAGAAGTAGTAGTAGTTCGTAGTAATCGTAGTAAGTAGTAGTAGTAGTAGTAGTAGTAGTTGAAGAGTAGTAGTAGTAGTAGTATTAGTGGTAGAGGAGATGATTTCGTATAATACTACGAGTAGTGTTAGTAGTAGTAGTAGTGTAGTAGTAGTAGTAGTAGTAGTTAGTAGTAGTAGCAGTCGCAGTAGTAGTAGTTAGTAGTAGTAGTAGTAGTAGTTAGTAGTAGTAGTAGTAGTAGTAGTAGTAGTAGTCGTAATAGTAGTAGTAGTAGTAGTAGTAGTAGTAGTAGTAGTAGTTAGTAGTAGTAGTAGTAGTAGTAGAATAGGTAGTTAGTGTAGGTTTTAAGGGGGGTATAGTAGTAGTAGTAGTAGTAGTCGTAGTCGTAGTCGTAGTCGTAGTCGTAGTCGTAGTAGTAGTAGTAGTAGTAGTAGTAGTAGTAGTAGTAGTAGTAGTAGTAGTAGTAGTAGTAGTAGTAGTGGTAGTAGTAGTAGTAGTCGTAGTAGTAGTAGTAGAAGAAGAAGAAGTAGACGTAGAAGTAGAAGTAGAAGTAGAAGTATAAGTATAAGTAGAAGTAGAAGTAGAAGTAGTAGTCGATGTCTTTTGGAAGGCTCTTGGAGACCTCTTGGGGCGTCTTCGGCGCCTCTTGGGGCCTCTTGGGGACTTCTTGGGAGCATCTTGGGTGCCTCTTGGAGGTCTCTTGGGGGCCTCGTGGGGGCCTCTTGGGGCCATCTTGGGGCCTCTTGGTGCCTCCTGGGCGCTTCTTGGGGCCATCTTGGAGGGAATCGCTCATAGAAGAGGGGAGCTTTAATGAGCGCGGCCCCCTCAGAAGGGCAGAATGAGGCTAAAACCTTCGTAAAATCGATGATTCTGCCTTCAAGGAAGAGGGACGCTTTAATGAGCGCAGCCCCCTCAGAATGCGAAAATGAGGCCAAAACCGTAGTACAATCAATGATTGTGGCTGCAAAGAAGAGGAGAGGGTTTTTTTTCTGCCTCCCCCCGTCGGGGCCAGAATCCTCGTGAGGGGTGTCGTTTTCTAGCCCTCCCAGGAGTCGAAAAAGACCCCTCCAACCACCCGCGGAATGACCTCACCAGGCCCAGGGGGAGGGGGTAGGGGGAGGGGTAAACCCCTCCCCGAAGGGGAAGAAGGGGGGTTGAGAACAGAGGGGGCTCGCTAAACCACTCACGCCCAAAGGGCTGGTGGGATTTTGAGGAGTGAAGAGGAGGGAGGAGGAGGAGAAGGAGGATGAGGAAGAGGAGGAAGAGGAGGAGGCGGAGAAGGAGGAGGGGGAGGCGGAGGAGGTGGAGGAAGAGGAGGAGGAGGAGGAGGAGGAGGAGGAGGAGGAGGAGGAGGAGGAGGAGGAGGAGGAGGAGGAGGAGGGGACGGAGGAGGAATGAGGAGGGGGAGGCGGAGGCGGAGGAGGAGGAGGAGGAGGAGGAGGAGGAGGAGGAGGAGGAGGAGGAGCAGGCGTAGGAGCATGAGCAGGAGCAGGCAGGTGCAGGAGCGGGAGCAGGAGCAGGTGCAGAAGCAGGAGCAGGAGCAGGATGAGGAGCAGAAGCAGGAGCAGGAGCAGGAACAGGAGCAGGAGCAGGAGCATGAGCAAGAACAGGAGCACGAGCAGCGGCAGGAGAAGGCGGAGGATGAGGAGGAGGAGGAGGAGGTTAGACTCGACCCCAAAGGGTCTTGCACACGAATTCGACCCTCGGGACCCCCCCAAGCCTCCCAGACTCAGCCCCAGCACGGCACGGCCGCGCCAGGGGCAACGCTTGAGAGGTCAAGGGGGTCCTCGGTGCCCGAAACACCACGGGCCCTACGGGCCTGGGCCTCCGCCCTGGCCTCCAGAGCTCTGAGCCCCAACAGCTGGGCATAGCTGGGCATCGGCCAGCTGAAGCCCGAAAGAAGGCAGGACTTCCAGGACGCTGGGCCTCTTAGGGCCAGCCGTCGGGGCACCCGTTTGGGCCACCACTGGAGGCTCGGGGGGGAAATGTCCAGACCAAAACTCGAGCTCGGACTCTAAGGGCGACCGCAAGCTCCCAAGAAGCCTGTTCCCTTTGGGGTGCTTCAAGTGCTTCAAAGCGGAATTATTATTATTGGCACTGGGGATCGGGCCTCCTGGACACTTATCCTGGAGGCCTCGTCCCCGTTTATGGGATACATACGCTCGGCACGTTGTGCAAAAGAGGAGGCTGCCGCTGGACCGCTGGGCCGATCTTGCCTTTTCATCAACGAAAATGGGCGCCGCGAGCAAAGTGTGCCCGCCGACGCGCCAAGGCTGCAGTCCAGCGGGCACGACATCGGGCTCCGTCGGCGTGCTCCCCACAGTCGCATGGGAGCTGGCCGCGGCCTCGACGTCGGCACCCTCCACTTCATCCTCGAACTCAGCTGGCCACTGCGGCCACTCTCCAAGGTCAATCAGCCTCAGTGCCACCGCGCCCATGGAGTCGAGCATGTTGGTACGCGAAATGTGCAACGCGAGCCAGCGCCTGGCAGCCCTCGACAGCGTGGACGTCATCGAGGTTCACCCTGGCCGCCGCCGCGCCCTGCTTGGCTCGCCTGTCGGCGCGAGCATAGCCGTCCAACTCGAACTGCGAGACGAGGCCATCTGCGACGGCCTTGGGGCCCACTTGGGCCTTGTCTTGACGACCGTCACGTCCTGCAGCTGCTCGGCCTGGCCAGCCCACAGGTGCGCTCGCTGGCTGCTGGCGGCGGCCGCCGCCAACGGGTTGGCCGCGCAGCGCACTGTGGCCATGCCGTCCACGTAGAGCCTGCAGCTGCCCCCTGCCACCTAAGACGTGAGGGCTTTCACGGCGTAGTCCTCGCCGTCCTTGGCCAGCTGCCCGGGGGCTTCCGCAATCGGAACCGCCCCCCGCGCCTCTGCCACCAGCCTGCAGGCCGCATCAAAGACCACCACGGACCAGCCCGCGGCGCGCAGGCGCGGGTGGGCCTGGTCGAGGCCCGAGCCGTCCACAAAGACGTGGTGCCCGTGGAGGTGGGGCCCCAGCGTGTACCAGCTCGTCGAACTCTCGAAGTGGTCCGTTGCTGGCCGAACAGGCCTGCCCATCAATTCCGATACGTCAGGGAAAAGGCACATGGCGAACAGGTCGGTGAAAGGATCGCCCAGGCTCTCAACTCGATCCGCAGCTCCGCGCAGCGGCTCCTCCAAGTAGTCACGCCTCCAGGCCTCGTGAGCCTCGCAACGAAAGCGCCTGTGGAAGAGCGAGCCGTCCTGGAACCCGCAGAACTGGCAATTGGACGGCACTGCGCGCGAGCTGTCAGCCGCTGCGACCCTGGCCTGGCACCAGCAGGTGTTCTGGATGAGGCTGCGCAGCGCCCGCTGGTGGTGCTGGCCCCAAACCTCAGACCGATGACTGGCAAGATCCAGGATCGGTTGCCGGAAGGGCGGGATGCTCCAGCCCCACATGCTGGGGCCCTGCTTGGCCACCTCCTCCAGCCCAATGGCGATGCGGCAATGCTGCGCCACCAGGCTGCCAAAGAAGGCAGGATAATGCCTCCTGACGTCGTAGGCGGCCCCCGTGCTGCCATGGACCAGGTATGGGTTCGACTTGCGTGAAGCCCCAGCCGACGCGCTCCAAGGCGAGGACCAGCGCGCTGATGGGGTCCTTGACCTGCCGCCAGGGATGCCGTTGCTGGGCGAGCGCCAGGCCCCTGGCCAGGCAGGGGCGGGCTGCCGCCTCAGGCAGCAGCGAGGCCCATATCACCTCGACGTAGGCCATGAGCGCGGTCCTGGTGACGATGGTCAGCGGGCCCCGCTTCCAGCCATTCGCCTGGGCCAGGCTGGCCAGCCCCAAGGCGGCCCCGCGGGGCAAGCGCCCTCTCGCCTTGATAGCCCCGACGCGCAGCTGGCGCAGCCTGCCGCTTGGGATGCCCATGATGGCCGAACCCCAGGTGGCCTTGGCCGCGGGGCCTGCACGGTAGACCCTCGCACGGTCCAGGCCAGGACGGAAACGACTAGTGAGCTTCCTGCCTTGGGCTCGCGCCTGCTGCTCTCGCGTGACCGCGGTCGTGACACGGCGGTGCGACCCTGAGATCGCGTCTCCGCCGAGGTCCCTGTGCATGTCCACGAAGTCGTCGGGCCCGAGGTCCCCGCCAGGTTGCCGCATCAGCGCCTGGCGCAGCTCCTTGCTTGTGGCGGGAGCCTTGGTCTTGTGCCTGCTCAGCGGCAGGTTAGCCTCTCGCACCTTCTCGCAGAAGGCCCTGTAGGTGGCTCCCAGTTGCTGGGCCACCATGGAGCGGGGCCCTGTGAGGTGGGCCGACACGTCGTCCACCACGTTGAGCAGCCTGGCAATGGGCGCCGCTGCCGCCGCGGCCCGCAGCGCCGAGGGCAGGAGCAGCTTCGCCAGCGCCGTGGCGCAGGAGCAGCCAGCCACTACCGTGCCGTTGGGCGCCACCGCCTCGCTGAGGCAAGAGCTGACGCGCGCCCGTCGCGGCGCCAGGTCGGTGACGCAGAGGGCTCTGAGGAGCCCGAGCTCGGCGTGGCCGATGTGATCGTAGTATTTCTGCAGATCCCTGTAGATGGAGGCGGCCTCCTCTTGCACGTGCTTGGCGTGGGCCACGAACACGATGTGGAGCCAGGCCGCCTTGTCACATCCTCGCGAGGCCGAGGTCCCCCCAAAGGGGGGTTGCTCCAGCGACCTTTCCCATTTGGCCGTGTAGCCCTGGCGCACTCTTGACCAGATCTTGGCCAGCAGCGGCATGAGCCCGATGGGCCGCTGCCCGCCATTGGGCTTCGGCAAGAAGACCATGATCACGGTCCACATCTCGCCGCAGTAGGGAGAGCGCTCGCAGGAGTTGAGCAGAGTGGCGAGCCTGGCCAGGATGTCCTCTCCCGCCTCCAGCAGCAAGCGCGGGTGGAAATTGTCCCAGCCAAGGCCCGTGTGCTAGGAGAACTTGCGCGACGCGAGCTTGATGTCGTCCACCGTGATCGGCGGCAGCACCCACTCGCCAACGTCCCAAAGACCAGGGTGCTCCTGGCCGCTCCGACTGGGATCAGACCAGAGGGGGAGCCAGTCAGCTAGCACCCTCTCCAGAGCAGGCTGGCCCACCAGAGCATGGTCCACCGTGCCTGCCTCAAGGGCGGGGTCGGGCTCTCCATGGGTCTTCTTGATAACCTTGTGGGCCAACGAACCCTGACCTTCAAAGGCCTGCTCCGAGAAGTCATCCCGCTTGAGTTTGCTGGCCGTTGCATCCCCCTTGGCGTGTTTAGCCACAACCTGCTCCATCACGAGTAAGAATGTGTAGCCCAACTCAGTCTGGAGGCCGATCTCGTCCCAGAAACTCAAGAACACCGTGCCATCGGACATCGTGATGGACTGCTCCTGGAACTTGACCTTCAAGCGGCTGGCTGACTCGAAAAGCTGCTGCGCTCGCCTGGCCCTGTAGCAGTTGGGCAGGGCGTTGGGCCCGATGGGTCCCAAGTCCCACCTTCTCTTGGACAGGTGGCGCAGCGACAGCCAGAGGTAGGTGACCTCCGATGCTCGATCAAAGCGGTTCTCCTGGACCTTGGCCTCCAGAGGAATTGTGACCGTCCTGAGGCCCTTGGACCTGCCCTTGTAGTACCGAGCATCACTGCTGGGCACTCCATGCAAAGCCTGCAGTGCCTCCCCAGCCTGATCAAACCAGCCCTTGACTACTCCCTCAAGGCCTGAGCCAGGCGGTGGCCAGGGGAGGGTGGCCACTAGCTGGTCGCGCGTGGTCCTGGCCTCCCCATCTGCCTCGAACTCCAGCCCAAAACCCTTCGGCGCGCGCTGCGTCTGGATCATGGGCCGCTTCCAGCAGCCACGCAACACGAGCGACACTACCTGGTGCGGGCCGTTGGGGGTGTCCGCGTGGCACGTGATGGAGTCCACCAGGTCCTCTAGCGCGCGCGAGATGACGAAACCATCGTACTCATTGTCGTTGCATGTGGCCGACCCAGGAGCCAGGACAGCTCCTCCCATGAGCTCAGGCCAGCCTGAGGTGGCCAGCTCGCTGGCCTCAATGTTCCTGTCGCCACCTATGATGAAAGGCTCGTCCAGGTGAGCGCACCACGCGTAGATGTCTTCCAGCAGTTGCCTGCTGGGCCCCTGGAGCCCGATCGAGTCCTCGAGGTACACCGAGATCATGGCAATCATGGTGCCCTCGCCCACGGAGACTCGACGAGCGATGAACCGATGTGGGGCCCCATCCCAGGGCAGAAGGTATCTCGCGGTGCCCAGCAGCGACGAGGAGACTATGGCCACTCCCGGCGAGACCGCCGTGGCGGCATCTCCAGTCCTCAGGACCCTTGAGGCCGCGAGTTGGTGGCCTCCTCGGCTGGCCCAACCATGGGCCTGCTCCACCGCCGTGTTAAATGTGAAACGCGTCTCCTGGACGAACATCGCGTGCGGTGCCATCCCCTTCTTCCTCATCCACTCGTGGACACTGGAGGCCGTGTTCCACGTGTTGCCGTTGTAGGTGCACACGGTAAGCTTCCTTTCGAGCTGCCCAGGCGCAGGCACCAGAGCGACCTGGTCGGGAAGCAGGCGATCCAACTGCGGCAACACACCTTCGCCCAGCCCAGCCTGGGCCCCGAGACGCCCCCTCCTTTTAAGCCCGTGGGCACCTGCCTGGCAGGAGGGGTCTGCGGTTCCCAGGCTTGTAGGCGCGGTCGCCGAGCCCGAAGACGCCATCATACCTGTCGTCGCGGAGGCCAATCCTGAAGTCGCCTGCCGAGAACTCCAGGTACCTCCATGTCGCTCATGTGGCGGGGCGTCTACCGCCTGGTCAGAGCCGTGGTCAACGTTTCCTCCCGCTGCCACGGGCATCGACCACCCCCCCGTCGGGGGCCGTGGCAGCGGGACACCTGGAGGGGGAGGCTGCCATCCGCGCGTCCGCGGCTCCCTCGCTCCAGTTTGAAGCGGACCAGGCCGACCGTTGCTGGGAGAGGCCATGCCAATCGCCGAACTCGCCGTCCCCGCGGTCGCCGAGCCCGGAGACGCCATCATACCTGCCGACGCGGAGGCCAATCCTGAAGTCGCCTGCCGAGAAATCCAGGTACCTCCATGTCGCTCATGTGGCGGGGCCTCCCCCGCCTGGTCAGAGCCGTGGTCAACGTTTCCTCCCGCTGCCACGGGCATCGACCACCCCCACGTCGGGGGCCGTGGCAGCGGGGCACCTGGAGGGGGAGGCAGCCATCCGCGCGTCCGCGGCTCCCTCGCTCCAGTTTGAAGCGGACCAGGCCGACCGTTGCTGGGAGAGGCCATGCCAATCGCCGAACTCGCCGTCCCCGCGGTCGCCGAGCCCGAAGACGCCATCATAACTGTCGTCACGGAGGCCAATCCTGAAGTCGCCTGCCGAGAACTCCAGGTACCTCCATGTCGCTCATGGGAGGAGGAGGAGGAGGAGGAGGAGGAGGAGGAGGAGGAGGAGGAGGAGGAGGAGGAGGAGGAGGAGGAGGAGGAGGAGGTGAAGAAGAGGAGGTCGGAGGAGGAGGAGGAGGAGAAAGAGGAGGAGGAGGGGGAGGAGGAGGAGGAGGAGGAGGAGGAGAGGAGGAGGAGGGGAGGAGAATGGAGGAGGGGGGTTGGAGGAGGAGGAGGAGGAGGAGGAGGAGAGGAGGAGGAGGAGGAGGGAGGAAGGAGGAGGAGGAGGAGGAGGAGCAGGAGGAGCTGCAGGAGTAGGAGCAGGCGTAGGAACAGCAGCAGGAGCAGGTGCAGGAGCAGAAGCAGAAGCAGGTGCAGGAGCAGGAGCTGGATCAGGAACAGGAACAGGAACAGGAGCACGAGCAGTGGCAGGAGAAGGATGAGGAGGAGGAGGAGGAGGAGGAGGAGGAGGAGGAGGAGGAGGAAGAGGACGCAGGACGCAGCATACAAAATGGAGTCATGCAGGCACGATACCACCTCTGAGCTAAAATGAACATGGAAGCACAACTTAAAAGCTAAGAGGTGCTGCATGCGAGGTCAGTCAACCATCGCACGCCAGAGAAACCCAACGAATTGAACTAAAGTTTAGCTCCCGTTGCCGGGTGCCGCCCGTCAGCGAGCCAGTCCCTGGCTCTACGGCGGGCGGGGTTCGGGGGACGCGAGGGGCAGACCTCCCCAAGGGCATCGATTTTGGCAGAACCGATGGCCACACGAGCCCCACACCGAACACAGAATAAATATGGCCCCGAACGCTGGACCTTGTGGCCGTCACATTCGAAGAGAGTCCCACTCCCCACCGCCACGTTGGCAGCAGCATCAGCCCCCCCAGCCACGGCAGCAGCAGCAGCAGCAGGACCGTCCCCCCTTTGGTTACGCCACCCTAGCCGCTCGGCCGTTGCGGCCAAGGCGGCAAGCATAGGCGACGGGTCACACTTGGCCCCTGGCTTGAACAAGCTCTTGGCGCTGGCTGGGGTCCTGGCCACGGCCAGGCAGCGCCTGCACTGAGGGTAACCAGCAGGGCCTAAGGGGACCGGATCATGAGCTATCACCACGAGCCTCGGGCTTGCGGGTGCCGCCGCCGCATGCCGGGCAGGGGCAGCATTGGCGCATTCAGGCTTAGCACAGATGATCTGGACAGCTCGCGCCAAAAAATCAAACGATTGTTTACCTTCGGCCACCGAGGACTCCAAGGCAGACACCACAATTTCGGCTACCGCGGCGTCTTGTGCGCCGAGCTTGGCAAAGAAATCGGCCCACGCATTGCCCATAAACCGCCAGAGCTCCTCCGCCGAGGCACCAGCTGCCACTAACCCCTCAAGCGACCGATGCGCGGGAGTCCAAAGGAAGCGAGGACACGGGCGGTCGGAGCAAAGAATAAAAATCTTGCGCCACAAAGCAGCATGTGCTGCCATGCCGCAAGCCTGGCGGTGATCCCACCGCTCGCCTTCACGGACGAAAGACAAGTGATCACTAATTATCGTGAGATCTTGGGCCCTGAGGCGCATCGCCTCCAGACCAGCCCATCTTTCCGCTTTGGGGACGGACTGGACCCCACCAGGGAGCGCCCCGAATTTGGCCCGCAACGGCCACCCGTCGGGAGAAATGTCGACGACGCTCCATCCACATCGCGTGGCCTTAGGCACTGCGCTAGCAAGTCCTGAGGCATCCGTAAACAGTACAGGGCCCCACTCGAGATCAGTCAAGCCCCAAACTCGCACGGCCGGCCTGCTGCTGGGAGGCGGGATCGAGATGGGGATAGAGGGAAGACCGTACAACAAGTCAACACGATCCCAGTCAGGAGGCCCGAGGGGGGAGATGCCCTTCTCCCGCAGCGCCTGCCTGTGCTCCCACAAATCGTCGGGGAAGGCGCTCGCCGCCTGGCCTTCGCCAGACTCGAATGCCAGTGGGCAGTCGAAAAACTGGTGGCCCAGGGTCCCGCTCGGGCAGTCGCAGAAACAACACTTAGCGGGCTCAGCTAAGCCAGCCGCATGGTTCCGAGCAGGTGGCCCCAAACCTCCAGAAAGCAGGGCCCTGATGGAACCTTGGCGGGCCCCTGGGGGCAGACAAAGCACTCCAAGCTTCAAAGCCCGACTCCAGATCTGCTCCTGGCCGGACGCTTCGGGAAGATGGTGAGGCACGCGGCGCCAAAGGAGGAGGAGGACGAGAAGGAGGAGGAGGCGGAGGAGGAGGAGGAGGAGGAGGAGGAGGAGGAGGAGTGAAGAGGAGGTCGGAGGAGGAGGGGGAGGATGAGGAGGAGGAGGAGGAGGATGAGGAAGATGAGGAGGATGAGGAGGAGTAGGATGAGGTGGAGGAGGGAGAGCATGAGGATGAGGATGAGGGTGAGGATGAGGATGCGGATGAGAAGGAGGAGGAGGAGAAGGAGGATGAGAAGAGAGGAGGAGGGTGATGATGATGATGATGATGATGATGATGATGATGATGATGATGATGATGATGATGATATGATGATGATGTGATGATGTGATGCTGATGATATGCTGATGATGATGAGATGATGATGAGATGATGATGATGAGGAGGAGGAAGGAGGAGGAGGAGGCGGAGGAGGAGGGGAGGAGGAGGAGGAGGAGGAGGAGGAGGAGGAGGAGGAGGAGAAGGAGGAGGAGAAGGAGGAGGAGGAGGAGGAGGAGGAGGACGAGGAGGAGGAGGCGGAGCAGAAGGAGGATGAGGAGGAGGCGGAGGAGGAGGAGGAGGAGAATGATGAGGAAAAGAGGCGGATAAGGAGGAGGTGTAGGAGGTGGAGGAGGAGGAGGAGGGGAGGAGGAGGAGGAGGAGGAAGAGGAGGAGAGGAGGAGGAGGAGGAGGAGGAGGAGGAGGAGGAGAGGAGGAGGAGGGTGCGGAGGAGGAGCAGGAGGAGGAGAAGGAGGAGGAGGAGGAGGAGGAGGAGGAGGAGGAGCATGAGTAGGAGCAGGAGCAGGAGCAGGACCAGGAGCAGGAGCAGGAACAGGAGCAGGTGCAGGAGCAGGAACAGGAACAGGAGCAGGAACAGGAGCACGAGCAGTGGCAGGAGGCGGAGGATGAAAAGGAGGAGGAAGAGGAGGAGGAGGAGGAAGAGGAGGCGGAGGAGGAGGAGGAAGCGGATGAGGAGGATGAGGATGAGGAGGAGGAGGAGGAGGAGGACGAGCAGGAGAAGGATGAGAAGGAATCCGAGGAGGAGGATGACGAGGTTG